TGCCACGCACTCAAAGTTACGAGCGGTCAGGTGGTGGCGCAAACTGAATGCCGATCAAAGCTTTGTACGCGAACTCTACTTTTGGAGATCGCCACTGAAAGTTGTTCCCGTGTACGCACGATTGCAAGTAGGGCATCTAGCCGCTGCCATGTCTTTGTACGTGTCTGCTCGGCAAAGGGTAGGCACAAGCAATGGCGAGCTCGCCAGCGCTACACACACCTTCGCTCTGCTTGCACGTGTGGGGCAACAGAGGAGAAGCCAATGCTTGCGGGTGATTGACGATTGGCTCTTGCGACCATCGGACAGGTGAAGCTTATACATAGAATATCCTTTGTCAGTGAGATGTTTTGGTACGAGTGCGACCCCCGCCAACAACATCAAAGGCAATGCGCCAGAAACTTCATGCCGGCAAGCAAAATAATTCACACGCAAATTCGACTGTGCAAAGGTACGTCTTGCTCAGCTGTGTCCGTGATGTCAAAGACGAAGACACTAGGGAAAGGAGCGACTAGATTGTCTCAGTAAGGGCTGTACAAAAACAAGTTCAGTCAGCTGTCTTTGAGCAGCGACTATAGATCATCGTCGACATTCGCAAAAGAGTACACTTTTCTCACTCGTAACGAGATGTTACAAGAAAAGAATTGGTGATTGATACATGCACGCGTTACTCATAACAAGCTTTGGGGCATGGCTGGTTTGGGGAGGGGCTAGTGTACCATCGAGCGACACAGAGTACAAGGCATGCCGATGCGAACTGGGAAGCGAACGCAGCAGGGCAACGTGTCTATAAAAAAAGGCCCCTGAAGAGGCAAAATGCACACCCGTAAGGTACATGTCTCCCCGAATGAAAGTGCACTTCTTTACACCGAAAATACTCGTTTACAATTTACACGGACGACACCTTGACGGAATCGAAGCCCCACGCCTTTTTTTTCTTTTTTTTCGGACGTGGTCGGCGATCATTCATCGACTGGCCTCGAACGTGCGATGGAATCTCCTGTCTAGGATGTGGCCAGCGCCCACATCTCTGGAGGTCAGAAAAATCACGGGAGAAAGGTCGTGTCGTCGTGAAACGTCTCTGCGAGCGGAACAGGCATTTATGCTTGGAGAGAAAAAGGGTACAGCAAGTGCTCTAGGTATCAAAATATTGTTATATAAGGTAGTTATAATTTTCGTGCAAAACGTTGCGCAGAATTGACAGGCAAGTCGTTAGAAGCCGACGTACACTTCTTTCCCTCCTTCCCCCACAGTTTGGAAGTGAACTAAGCGATGTTCTGCCTTGCTGGAGATGACGGTTGTACGCTGGCACTTAACGGTACTCCCGCACAAATAAAAAAAAAGAACTTAATCAAATTAACACACTGGCATGGCGTGCTCGTATTATGCGTTGCGTTCTCAAATGTGGTATATACTTCGGTAGGAAAAATAAAAAAAAAGCTGGTTATAGTTAGCCTCTGTTTACATGGCACGGTAGGAATGGTACAGTACACACGCGATAGTTTCTTGTGGCTCAAGATATTTGGCGATTTGCATAAGTTATATGAAACACAGATACACACGGCACAACATCGCATGCCGCGCTGTATTATATAGAATGTTTTGCAACAATCAATCCGACACTACAATCTACCGTAGTAAAAGCTGCACACTGCCTCCAACCGCGCATAGCCTTACTGCTTGCTGCGGGACAAGGGGGAAAATCGGAATTATAATGGCACTCATCTCCCAAAGCTACGGGAGATAGGTTTCTTCGAGTGAGCAAAGCAAACATCGCCCGGTCTACGTGCTCCCGAACTTGTGAAAATGAACGCTCCATTCGCTTATGTTTATCATAAAAAAAGCGGTTTAGATTCTTTTCTTGTCACACTCAGAAAAAGTAGCAAAAATTATATTTTAATGCTGAGAAACTCTTCATTATTCCCGATGTAGCTATTAAATTACATTATTTACGTTTCTAGCATGCACTCGGAAAACTCGTGTTTACGCTTTGGTTCCTGACAAATCCACAACAACCATAAACTTATACATAAAAAAGAAATCAAATCTTATTCTGCTTGTAGGTTAATGTTTGGATAGTTTACCAAAGACGCCACCGATAGGTCGTCAAAGAAGGGTGCCAGGACGAACACAATTCAACTACTACAGAACGGCGCCACGTGAGCACTCTGGCCACACCACAGAGGACCACAGGTGAGCGGTGCCAGTACTACCTGGAAGACAAGGACGGCGCCGTTCCACCTCTGACGTCATCACTGGCACGCAGCGCCACCTAGATCGCCTCCGCGTCGCAGCGTCTGACAACGAGCGCGATAGCGCGACGCTACAACGTGTCAACGCCAAGCGCTTTGTGGTGATTCTCGTCGAGATTCAACCTGTTTGCCGCTTGGGGAACCTCGGGGATTCATTGACGATTAGGTGAAGGACAGGCCTTGTTTCCTAGGAGGTACTGGCGGAGTAGATATACAAACTTGAGTCGTAGCTTCACACGGAACACAACGAAAGTGAGCAAGACACGCATTCGCTAAATGTTCAACGAACCAAGTCGTGCGAGAGCTGAGACGTTCACGAAGGCGATCTACCTTAAGCAGTGGGTCACGCTGCTTATACATCATACAAAATACAGTGTGCATGCGGATTCGAACGCGGGTCACAGCGAGATCTGTGCTTCGAATGCCGCATGGCACTGAGTTCAGGGAGAAAACGTGGCACGCGGCATTCGAACCGAGGATGTTGCGGTGACTCTTGTTTGCAGGCTGTCTTTTGTATGATGTGTGAGAAGTGTGAGCCCGGCTTTAAAGTGCCATTCCAGCCAAAACAAAAATGCCTATAATGACAAGGTGAGCGGGTTCGCATAATTTCAAAAGTGTTCCAGAAATTCAAAAGAAAAAGAGGTAAACATTTCATCACAACATCTTACCTTAGAATTTGAGAGTGTAACGAAACATATTACAGTGCAATCTACTAATGACGATGCCGACTATAACAAAGCACTTCTCATAACGATCAGTTTGTAGAGTTTCTAGACTAGCAACGATCAGTTTTTAGTCTAGATAGAACGATAATCGGTTATACCGATTGCATTTTCGGGTTTTTCTCACCATCGCTATAAGTAGATTGCACTGTATTTCTTACGGCCACGAGCGGGCATACTGTTCCCCTACGGGAGCATATTTTCTCCGTTCACTCCTAAGCTGATAGTGCGGTGGAAGGTGCGGGTTCGTCGGACCATTCCTAAGTCTGTCATTCGCCACGTGATCACGCTCCCGCTAATATTACAGCGTAGAGAGCGAGATCGTGCGATGAAACGGAGGCGTTTCGATTGGTTGGTCCGGCGAGCGCCTAGCTCGCATTGCACTGTCATACATGGGACGTTTCTGAAGGAGTTTGGACAAAGTGTCGTCCTGGAGGCATTTTTTTTTGATCCAGAAGATGCTGATACGAAATTTTGTAGAAGGTCCTATTGTATCTTTTTAACCATAACTATACTTCTGGCAAAAAAAAAAAAAAGGAATATTGTTTAGCTGGAGAGGCACTTTAATTGCAGGGTATCGTTCAAACGGGAAAACGCTTTCTAGACGAATGCTTTTTTTTCGAAACTGAAGACTTTTCCTTAACGAACCAGCCAAGGAAGAGGGACTGAGACAATCGATATGGCTGCGGTTGTAGAGACGCTGCCGTATTTACCCAAACCTGGTAAAATTTTATATTTTTTAAACAAAGTCCGCAAGTCTACTTTTCCATAAAACACAGAGCTTATCATTTATAAATAAAAAAAAGATCAAGAAATAAGCACAGATAATATTTCCCCCCTCCCCCACCCAACATTTCCGCCGCAAAAAAAAAAAAAAAAAGTGCCTGCGCTAGGGCATTGTGTATGCCGCGCATATACTGAGACTCCCTACGAAGATCATGTTTTTGAGCTCCAACGCGTTCGTCGACTCGTGCTTCTCGCTTAAGAAGATTGGCTCCTCGTGTACTCTGCATGGAAGTTGAGGCGCCAACTTTGTTCGCACGAAGGTCAACCAAAGAGAAAATCATCTTAATGATCCGAACTAATCAAATCACTTCCCTCCCCAATAATAAAAAAAAAAAAATCTACGTAATCCTTTGTTAGACAAACATACGGTTGTTCACTCGAGGCGTCGCATTTGTACGACGTCGGGCAAACTGTGGCGGCATTTCCGGCGGATGGATGAGTAATCTCGCGTTTTGTTTTCTACGGTCACTGTTGTCTTAAAAAAAAAAAAAAAATGCGGGAGCTTGGCCTTCCAAGCAGCACAAAATGTCATGCGAACGTCCATGGAACCTCGTCCCAAAGACGTTCCCAGGACTAAGTGTGCTACTAGGGCCGTTAGGCTTCTTGCTTCGTTCTCTGGCGCTATTGTTCGCCGATGATGCAATCTGTCTGCGGTGCGATGATTAGATGTTGCTACAACGCCCTTCTTCGTTTCTCAGGCTGTCAGTGAGCGTAGATGACGTTGCCTAGGTTAGGATAAATACGACACTGCGCAGGCGATGTCTCAAAGGCGCCGATACCGCCGGCTCCAATCACGAGCCAGCTAGAAATCACGTGACACATTGTTCTGACGGGCATAGCGTCGAAGTAACGGGGTTTCTAACCGGCTTGTGATTGGACATGGCAGCCCCGTAGCTTTGGCTCTAGTTCATCGTAGAGTGAGACGAGGTGCAGTTAGGGCCACTATAGTGACGACGCGATTAGCACGCGCGGCATTGCGTTTGCTCGCAGCGCAGCGACGAAGCGTCCCCCAACCGCCGTCGTATCAATTGACCGCGACTAAGAGGTTCCGGACAGAGGCACTCCACTCCGACGGATGAATCGAACCTAACCATAAACCCATTTTCTACAAAGGCAGACGACTCGGGGTACAGCGGCGAGATACGAGGCAAAATGTCGGTGACATATTTGTTCGACCAGCCGGTAATTGTTTGTGGTCCGCGACCTCTTCGATGTGTCCGTCTCGGATGTGGATTTTTGGCATCTCCAAAAGGCCTATAGCTGGTGCAGCTGACGGAGCTGCCGTGGGCACAGGAAGCGCGATCTGCGAAGACGGGGTCGCCAGACCTGCGTGCAAGGAAAATACCGCACGGTCTATCAAAATCAATACTCATGCAGGCACGTTTATTGACAGTCTAGAAGAATTGTATGGCTTTGTATGTTTATACAGCCTTGATGTTGGTACGCCTCAACGGGTGACCAGTCTCTTAGACACGTAGATGAGAAATTTTTTTGCCAGTGCAGTACAATCGCTAATATGCATCACGCAGTAGTGATTACATGAACGCGCGCCGGTACGAAACTCACCCAGATCGAAAAGGGCGGGGGCGGTGGGGATCGAACCCAGGAGGTTCCCAGCGCAAGCTTCCGCTTCACGCTCCGAACTTAAACGCGCTAGCGCACTCGGCCACCGTTTCCCTTTGATATTCTCGGGAGCGTATACCGGGTATATTCAAGCGCGGCCCGCGAGCGGTGCATTCTGGGTAAATCGCCACCTTTGAGTCCGTGACAGCAGACAGCCGCGCTCGCACAAGCCACACTGCTCAGAGAATACTTTTTTTTTTTAGGTGACGCAGCAAATGAGCAGTCAAATTACCTGTAATTGATTACTTTTGGGAGTAATTATATAATCATTTGATAACTTTTATTACGTAGAAATCACAGGAGTAATTTGATTCCTTTTGTAAGTAATAAGATTACTTGTAACTGTCACTCCTTTTTCGACCCCTTCCCCTACTTCGGTTTCCGGGTTTATGACTACTTACAGACCTTTCCATCGCTTATCACCCGGGCGAAAAATGCTGAGTCATTGAGCTGTGGAAGTATGCGCAGCGTCTGATGTACCGCACAACAGAGCGACAGCGCAAGCTCAGAAGGCATTCCACAACCCAGTAAACAGAGATGGTAGTGCGCAGAAGGTGATTTTTGGAAAGGTCTATAGTCGGTGACAAGAGTTCAGGGGAAGCTCCTCCCACCTTATTTCACTGTAATTGAGCGAACGGTGGCGAGGAGGCGGCATCCTCTCCAGCGTTCGCTCTGCTAAAGTGGAAAGAGTTGGCTAGGAGCTTCCCCTGAATTCTTAACTTGTCACCGACTATAGTCACCTCGGTTCAAGCTACGCATGCTGCGATATGTCCTCTTTTCAGCTGCTAAAACTTGGGATCAACAAAAAATAAAAACGACTGTTATCGAACTGTACGAAAGGAGGTCAGGACTTTTGCTTGGTCAGTTTATGTAGGGGTTGGCTGGGCTTCAAGCTGGGACAGTGAAGTCGGGATTTGTACAAAAGCCTTTCAGTGCAAAGTTGGATGGTTAAAGGGGAACGGAAATAAAGTTTTCCCACTTGTTTCTTTGCTTAGATGTGGTCTATCTTGTGCCGGCTGCAATCCAGAAAAAGTAGTATAGACTCCGGACTGCCGGTGGAAGAGTCAAGAAAACTAGTTTTAAATCAAACCACCAAATTTCAAGATTGCGTCTGGTGGCGGTCTGTGAAGTTCCGCTGGAATGCCGCCACGTCACTGGCCTCCAAGAAGCAGCGCTAGTTCGCGGCAGTATGGCTTGCTCGTGGAGTTACCTAGTCCTGAATGTGACTTGACGGATGATGCTATCGAGTTGACTATGTTGTATATGTTAGCCTCCGCAGTGCTTCCGCAACGTGCATTCAACACAATCTATCGCCGTTCTTTGCAGACGATAGATAAAAGCTTAACTGGAGGATGCGGGTACCTCTGCCAAACTAACCATACCACTCCCTCCCTCAACCCCCCTCCCCGGATGCAATGTGAATAACGCGGTCAAATACGGCACCCAATGAATACCTTGTATACATAGCTTGCAAGACTTGCCATTGCTGGATACTGGCGGCTTTTTCTGCTCACTGGTTTCCTCAAGCTACTATACTTCTGCAATGTGAAACTAACACGGTGAGCCGAACGCTCCTGGCACATAAGATACCGGCATGGCCGCGTATGACGTTTATAGACGTTTCTATTGTTTACGAACAGATCGTAGTCCACACGATGGCTGAACTGACTCATAGGCGAGTCAGTCCAGCCATCCCTCACTCGAAATTACGGCCAGACAGAAAGTGTGTGTGCATAACACATAAACACAGCAATAAACGCGCCCTCGCACGCTTTGAACAGGGAATGTGGCCCCCGCCATCCTCTTGCTAATGTGAGGAAGCACGGGAAATTGCAAGCCTGCACTAGTCGCGACGCCATGCTTGAAAACGTGTATAGGCCATAGGGCTTATAGTCCTCGGATATTACTACTAGGCAAGGTTGCCCCGCGTGGACTTCACCAAGCGGCAACGCTCGCAACTACAGTGCCCTTGGCCGTGCAGGGTGTGCTAGGAGCTATAGTCATCGCGAGGCGTGAGCCAGAAAAGACGACGATGAAGAAAAGGGAGGGGCGCTCGAGACAGATGATTAAATGGCTGATTCTAAACGGACGCTGGTTGGGTCCTGAGTTCCTGAGGCCCTGACAACACATGGTGTCAGAAGTGCGCCAAGGCGATATCGCCGGAGTAGGAGCTATGCAAGCAATGGCCACGTCCAGCTTCTTGTGTCAACCCCCCGAGCCGTACACCTTTGCAAACCCAGAAGAATGGACCTCGTGGATACGCCGTTTCGAACGATTTCGAGTCGTCAGTGGTCTCGCTGCGAAGCCAGGAACAGAACAGGTGAATGCTCTCATCTACTTCATGGGGGATAAAGCGGATGATATCCTGCTGTCTCTCAGTTTACCTGAACAGCAAATGACAGACTACAGCGCCGTGCTCCAAGCCTTTGAGAACCACTTTGTCGTGAGACGGAACGTTGCTTATGAGCGAGCCACTTTCCATCGGAGATGTCAAAGAGAAGGAGAGAACGTCGAAGAGTTCATAACAGATCTGCACAAGCTTGCCAAGTTCTGCAACTTCGGCACGCTCCATGACGAAATGATTCGAGACAGGATAGTGGTGGGTCTTAAAGATCACAAGCTTTCTGAAAGACTGCAGCTTGATCCAGACTTGACGCTTGAAAAAGCAACAAACATGACGCGACAGTCTGAGGTTGTGAAAGACCAACAGACCAGACTTCACACGTCCAGTGGAACCAACGTGGATCGCCTTTACGTATCGAAGAAGGCCCCTTCGAAAAAAGCCAATCGTGGAGGAAGAGTGGGCGAGAAGACGGTACCCAACTCTACTCAGTTTCAAGCACCGACTGGACACTGCTCACGCTGTGGCAAGAGTCAGCATTCGAAAGAACAGCGTCCGGCACGAAAGGCGATTTGCAACAGATGTCGCATAATTGGACATTACGCCCGCCAAGGCCGAAACTCCGCAACGCTGAACCAAGTTTCCAGTACAGAGACTGCATTCCTTGGATTCATTGAATGCGAAAACAGTCAACGGTGGACGGCGACAGTGCAAGTTGGCGAGGTGCCAATCGTCTTCAAGGTCGACACTGGCGCCGACGTGACAGTCATTCCGACAGAGACGTACAAAGCGTCTTTTTCAGCGACGTCCCTGCAGAGGCCCACGAAGATCCTAAAGGGTCCCGGTCGCCATGAACTAGACGTGCTGGGAATGATCACGAAGGACATGACCTACAGAACCAAGTCGACAAAAGCGAACCTGTACGTTGTTAACGACTTGGATGAAGCTCTTCTTTCGAGAGATGCCAGTGAGAAGCTGGGAATCGTCCAAAAGGTCTGCGATGTTGCGACTTTACGTACTGGAGACGTCAAGCTGGAAAGTAAGTTTCCCAAACTTTTTTCTGGGCTGGGACACGTGAAAGAAGCTTGCAAAATTGAGCTACGAGATGACGCAGTTCCGTTTGCACTGATGACGCCTCGGAGAGTAGCCATTCCCTTGCTAGGCAAGACAAAGGAGAAGCTTGAGGAAATGGTCAAGATGCAAGTAATAGAACCCGTGGAAGAGCCAACAGAGTGGTGCTCTGGGATGGTTATAATCGCAAAATCAAATGGAGGCGTGCGCATCTGCGTAGATTAGACCGAGCTAAACAAATACGTGAAAAGAGAAGTGCATCCTTTGCCAATTGAAGAACACGTGCTGGGACAACTCGCTGGAGCGAAATATAAGACTGATGCCAACTCCGGATTTTGGCAGTTTGAACTAGCCGAAGAGTCTCAACCTATGACGACCTTCATAACACCTTTTGGAAGGTTCAGGTTCCGGAGATTGCCCTTCGGCATCACATCAGCACCGGAGTTTTTCCAGAAAAAGATGACACAGTTTCTCGAAGGTCTGCAAGGGGTCCTGTGCAACATGGACGACGTCCTTATCTACGGAAGCACTCCAGAAGAGCATCATGAGAGGCTTCGAAGAAGGCCTGGGGGTCGTGTGGGCATGTGAAAGGTTCCAAGATTTTATAACCGTACTTCACGTCTTGATTGAAACAGATCACAAGCCCCTTGTGCCAATTTTCTCGTCAAAAAACTTAGCGGACCTCACTCCACGACTTCAAAGGATGAAACTTCGGATGATGCGATTCTCATACGACATGAGACACATTCCTGGAAAATCCTTGATTACTGCCGATATTCTCTCTCGGAAGCCTCTACAGGAGACAGGTCAAGGGGACTTTCAGGAGCAAATTGCACTGTATGTCAGTGGACTTACAGCATGCTTGCCGGCAACCGACCATAGGTTGAAAGAAATCCGAGAGAAGCAAGTTGCAGATGTCACGTGCAGGACACTGGTCAAGTACAGTGAAGAAGGCTGGCCGACACGGAATGGGGTTCAAACCGACTGCAGGGATTACTGGCCTCATAGGTCAGAAATAGCTTCGCAAGACGGTCTCCTCATGAGAGGATCCCGAATTATTATTCCTCAGTCAATGCGCAGTGACATCGTACAAAGACTTCACGAAGGACACCAAGGCATTACCAAGTGTAGGGCGCGTGCCCGACAGTCTGTATGGTGGCCTGGACTTTCCCGTCAAGTGGAAGATGTGGTACGCACTGCACACAGTCCATCCAAGAAACACACAACCGACACGAACCACTGCTTCCATCAAAGTTTCCAGATCGACCGTGGCAAAAAGTCGCAATGGACCTGTTTTACTTGGAAGGAAAAGACTACCTCCTCGTCAACGACTACTTTTCAAGGTTTCCAGAGATTGCACTTCTCAGCAGTCTGACGGCGACTACAATAATAACTCACCTGAAGTCTTTCTTTGCAAGACATGGAGCACCTTAAGTAGTCTTTAGTGATAACGGACCACAATTCCGAAAAATACAAGGGTCGGAGTTCCAGAAGTTCGCCGAAAGTTGGGGTTTTGAACACATAACATCCAGCCCACGTTACCCCCAAAGTAATGGCTTTGTGGAAGTTGCTGTAGGCATTATCAAACGTAGTTTGAAGAAAACTGGGGACAGCTACGTCGCGTTACAAGCCTACCGCTCGACACCGTTGGGTAACGGCTACAGTCCAGCAGAGTTGTTGATGGGACGGAGATTGCGTACTTCTCTACCAACGGCTGACTCCCTTCTTCAGCCCAGTCAGGTAGATAAAGAAGCCCTCAATCTTTGGGAAGAACGTAGGATCATGAATCAGAAGCGTAACTATGACCGACGACACGGTGTCCGCCGGCTTCAACCTTTGATGCCTGCGGATAGAGTGTGGATAACCGATCGACGCGAAACTGGAATAGTGCAGTCGTCGGTGGACACTCCAAGGTCCTACTCCGTCAACAAACAGGGAGGGAACCTCAGTCGGAACCGATTTCATCTCGTCCCGATTCCGACAGTGCCCAAATCACCTGACCTTCCACCGCGAGATGCGATTGCGGAAAGAACACTAGAGCCGACCTATGGGACCCCACATTCCGATCACGTTGTGACCCGAAGTGGCCGAATAGTCAAACCCATGGATAGTACGCTTTAGCCCTTAGCTAAAAGGGGGAGATGTGCTAGGAGCTATAGTCATCGCGAGGCGTGAGCTGGAAAAGACGACGATGAAGAAAAGGGAGGGGCGCTCGAGACAGATGATTAAATGGCTGATTCTAAACGGTCGCTGGTTGAGTCCTGAGTTCCTGAGGCCCTGACAACACACAGGGGCCCGTGGCGTCACGAGCGCGATACGCATTGCCATAACCTCCTCTATACTGACAAAACCTGGCAGATCGCCATGAGCCGCGGCCGCCGAAAGTGAAAAAGCGGCAGGGCAACGGATGAGAGGAGAGGCTGAAGTCCCTTTATGTTTCAAAAGTAGCGCAAGGTATCTCGAAGCACGAGGCACGTGCAACGTGCAGCCTTTTGGAAGATCATGGCGGCACAGCTTAGCACTGAGCTGGATTTCAGACGCCATGTTCTTCCCAGAAGTGGCGCGCGGCACGTGTCTAGAGCATTTCCACAACAATGAATGGCTCCAATTTTCCCAGGATAGAGGGTACAGTGTCAGAGCCGTATATGTAGAGAGTTTGGCCATTCGTTGGGAAGTATAGGAGACAAATGAGGAGGTGCCATTGGCCGAAAGCGGGCTGGGCGTGTTCCAGGGCGTCTTCAGAAACTCGAATGTGACCAACCGGAAGCCGGAAATAATACCCTGGCGGTGGTCGCGAGAAACAAACCTGATAACTGCATTGGAGTAACTCTCAATGGCTGAAAATATGGTACACGTGATGTTTCAATCACGCTCATCCAAAATGATGGTGGAAGAGTGGGACTAGCGGAACGATCGACATAATCCGTACGCCAAGCGCCGAGGGCCGGGAATCTGCCTTCCGAGCGGTCACACACTGTTCGCGCAAAACAGAGTTGAGCGGCGCATTCGTTTCTTACATCTTTCTGCATGATCATGATCAAAACAACACGTGCACCCCATTTTCAACCACAAAGAGTTACTACACTTCACTTTTACGCGCTTATTAAAACCATGTACGAACATAGACCTTTGATCACAACTGTTTCTGGCTACCGCCGCTAGGGGATTTTTTTCGGCTTCTGGTTGGTCAAGAGAGCATGCCAAGCCCTCTTTCCTAGTCTGCCGCACGCCCTGACTTTGCCCGCGCCTCCCATTGACCAAACTCTCTGCATATATGGCTCTGTACAGTGTTATAGAGGGGCTTTAGGAGAGGCATGTTACGGGCGCCCCACTGCGGCGAGACGCCAAAACACACTTGTCCCGAGCGACGGAATGTCGGCTCGTGCTCCTCGCGTTCCTCGCGCTACCGCTTCTTTTCTCATCGTGTTCGAACATTACCTCCGAGATCCCGAAGCGCGCGCATCGGGATCTCGGAGGCGATGGTTTCAAAACCATGTTTCGGGTCCTCGCCGCTGCAAAAGCTACGCACTGACTACAGGCTCCCCGAGAAATGCTCTGTGCTACCAGATCCTCGCGCTCCAAATCTGCGACCGGGCACTTTATGGCTGCGTCGTCGAACTACCAGGCTTTGTGACTATAGAGGAGGCTATGGCATTAATTGCGCTTCTTGCTGGCCAATTTTGAAGCGAGAGTTAGAGAGTTCGCGTTCACGTCATTTCGTTTCCGTGCCCCATTATTGTGCTTTTCTGTGTGAAGTTGTATGTGCGTGGAACAAGTGAGTGGGAACGTTCCTACGAGCAAGAAAGCTGAATCCTGTTTGCTGTGTTTAGCTTGCCCATACCTTGATTACAAACTTGTAGAACTTAATTGGCTGTAGTAACGCGTCTTTTCTGCTACGACCGCCAAGTCGACACGTAAAAGGGGAACTGAAGAAGAAGTGGATACTACCTGCGTGTGGTTGCCTTGCCTTCCGCCAGGCATAGGTTATCTCTTCACTGAAGAGGACTTCGAGCCGTTAGAGGCCGACGCCATGGGCGCCTTGTCATGCGAAGAGTAGAGCCCCAACTTGATGCCCACCTCGCTGGCGTAGCTGGTCAGCGAGGGACGACGTACCGTCGGAAAAGGGTTGAAGCTCTCGCCCATAGATCTCCGAGGGGAACCGGGAGGGCTTGCCAGCCCGCCCAGGTCTCCGGAAGATACCCGCTGTCTCCGGAACCACGCAGGCATAGTAGCGGCTCCGTCCATGCTGCCGCTATGATTCGCCGAGTTCCGGGAGCTCTTTAAGGCAGTGCTTTGGCTCGAGTTAACGATCGACGCGTCTGAGCTCATGGACCGCGCTGCGGGCATCTGGGTTCTCGCCGGAGGATGCCTGCCGTCGCTTTGGTCGTTGACCGGACCGTCCAACTTGACCGTCGACGTCCCGTAGACGAGACTTTCGAGGAACTTGGCAGCGTCGAATTTGGGCGTCGATTTCGTGGGCGACTTTAGTGGCGACGATGGGGTGGATGTCGGGGATGATGTGGCGGGTGACGCCGGCGATCGGCTGTTGTCCACCGGTGACCCTCCTGGCGTTGTATCAGAGCTCGTTCTGGCGGGTGAATGTTTCTTCTCGGACAATTCTTCGGACATGCTACCGTCGCCGCTGTTCTCTGCCGTCGTCGTGTCTGAGTTAGTCCCAAGGGGCGTTGTCGTGGGACCCTCTTCGTACGCCGATGCCTTGAGGTCTCCCGACGAGACTCTATCCCCATTCCGAAAATAGGACCTTTGAGACCGCTTCATCGATGGCTTGGTTTCACTGCCTGACGAAATCGATCTGCTGAATTTCGCGTGAAGTCGCTGAAACTCAGCTTCGGATAATGGAGGTTTGTCTTGCTTCATCAGAGAGTCGGACATGAAAGACGGCATATGCTTGCTGTCCGACAACATTGAACTGCTGTCTTCTGAAGTTGAGGAGTCGTACCGGTGTAGCTTGCCGTTCAGCGACTCCCTGCTTGAGGCTATCGGGATCGTTCCATCATCTTGCTCAGCTTGAACCACAGAAGAGTCCACGCAGAGGTGGGCGTCCTCCGAGAGAGAGGTTAAGGAAGACAACTGGACATCAGCGTCCACAGATTGCCAACTAACGTCTTCTGACGTGTTCCTGCTCTCGCTCGTGTCGGGCCACTTCCGATGGTGGTCTTGTAACGAAGGCCTACATCCAGCGTCTTGCTCTGGTAGTTGGTCGGTCCTAGACACGGTTTGATGCGCCTCGTTTCTCTCGAACGGTCGCTGCCCGACTTCTTCTGTTGCCATTCTGTTCGCTCTGTTGCTGCGCCTCGGTGACCACCTCCGGGGCGTCTCGCCCGAAGACTTTCTTTCACTGTCTTCGGATGTCGACTGGTCGGAATTAAAAGAGGATCGCTGAGAAGCTAGCTCTTCCGACGATGCCCTGCTTGAAACCTTTGACAAAGATCGCAGCGCCTGTCTTTCCAGCAGGGCCGTTTGACTGTACTTAAGAGACAACCTCTTAAACTCGTCTTCAGAGAGCGTTCGAGCGTTTTCTTTTGTTTTTGTTGCATTGTCACGCTTCTGGGAAGGTAGATCTTGCGGTTGAGCCGCGGACAGGACCTGGGTGTCTTTTTTGGGCACTGCATCCTGTTTGGCAACACTCAAAGTCGCCTCGTTTTGCTCTCTTGACGACTTCGAACTTGATTCTTCTGACAACGTGACGGAGCTTTGCTTACTGGCACTTGAAATAGGTTTGTCTGGAAGCGTCTTGTAGGGATTTTCCCTAGAATTAGAAGTGCGACTTTTAACGCCTTCCCTCTCCATTCCGTCTCTGGGCGGTTGCAAACGCCCTTCTAGCGCGGGCTTGCAAAAGCCTTCTTCAGACGACAGACTCTTCTGGCAATCGTCAGTGTCAGTTTCTTCGTCTTGTTTGTCAGAGTCGGCGTCGTCAACTGGCAGACCGGATATCGCTGATGGTCCCTGACTAGAAGTACGAAGGTCGCCGAATTCCACGTTCCGACCTTTCGGTTCAGAGGTCGACAACGAAGACACCTTGCGTAATTGCTTCATGTGTGTTCTGCTGGAGCTCTTGGTCGGCGACCTGCTGGGCGTGTTGTTAGGTGACATGCCAGGTGTTTTTTCAGGTGACTCGCCATGCGCCAGGTTTGGTGTCCCACTTGATTCCCTGTTAGACACCGCGTCCACGTTGGAGGAGTCATCGTGACGCTTAGGTCTCTTACTCCAATTTTCCTCTTCGTCGGACGACGACGAACCGCCCTGCTCTTCCCACGAAGGTTCTTGGGGCAGGGGGGAGGTCTGGCCGCCCTTGGAGACTTCCTCGGGAGAGGACGACCTCACGCTATGGAAGTCGTCGCAGAGTTCTGTTGACGAACTGTCGTAACTGGAGCTGTCGTCGACGTCCGATGACCTCAGTTTCTTAGCCTGTTCCCAGGACAGCGTCTCGCCGGCGCTCGGTGTGACTTTGACGCGAGGGGCTCGGGCTGTTGGGACAGCGAGCGTGGGAGGAGGAGGCCTGCTTTTCCGCACGATAGGCTTCTGCCCCGCCAGGAGATGATTGACAGGTACGACGGGTGGCGCTCTGGGAGGATGCAGTGCTGGAGGTCCTTGCAGACTACCTGAACGACAAGGTAAGGTGCACATATTTAGTTACTTTAATTTGAAGAACGGTATCGGGACAAAAGGTTTACCCGAATAAAAATAAGTTAATAACAAAAAATGGTGGCGCGCGTGTGAAAAGTGCATACCCTAACAAATACAAAAGTTTTTAATGTCTGGGCAATTTCTCTTTCTTAAAGCAGGACCGTTTTGTATACTAAAGAACCCATTATTGACCACTTTTGCTGCTTGTAATTGTCTCGTGCATTCAATTTTACTAAGGTTCATCATACGCTCTATTCACAAATTAAAAATATAAACACACGAAGTACACGTTTATGACTAATTTCAGGAAGTTTGCGTACTATATTATCAACACAAGGTAGGAGACTAAACTGAAATACAATGAAACTTTTTAAATTAAAATACCACATACGTAGCGTAACCTCCCTAAAGAACCGGTATGACACCTCTCATATGACACACTCCAAGTCAAGATTGCGAACGTTTGGTAATTCAACATATTATAGGCCCGCTCCTGGCGCTTGTATAATGGGACGCTTACTGGATCCGAGAGATGCGTAGAGGGTAGTGTTCTATACGCATATCTCTATTCCCGATTGCGAACGGCAATGCCATGAATATGCGTGCCTGAAGGCTCTTAAAGTTCACCGTGACAGTCAAACGACTAGGACGCAAACCTGCCCGATTTCTTTTAGAAGTGTTAGTTCGTTACGCTTGGGGCTAGATGCTGTGAAAGGAAAGGTGCCTAGCCTCACGATAAATGCTAAGTTAAAGTACCCGGCGACTTTTGGTCGTGCGCGTCTTTTTTGTTTTGTTGTATAGTTGACCTCGGGGTGTGACTGCGAAATAAAATTCAGCTGTGTCTGGATCTTAATATTTGTGCGTTCTCTCGTCCTTCCTTACGCTGCGAGGTTAAACGTCCAAACGATATTTGGTGAGCAAAACGAGCATAGTGAACTAGTCATTCCACAGAGTGAAAACAATGGAACCCGCCTACAACACAAAGCCTACGTCCCAGGGCGTCTCGCAGCGTCTGACAACGAACGCGGCGCAAGCACGCAAGACGACGGCAAGATCAACGCGCCTGGCGCTTTGCTTCGGCTTGTTTGCCGCTTGGGGCTCTTCGAGCAAACTAACAATGGCGTCCTGAGCAACAGGCCTTGCCTTCTATGTGGTATCGCTCGAACTCACCGGTCAGGATTATGTGCGCCTGCTTCTGGCGCTGCCTGAGCTTGGAGTACTGCCTCTTGAGTGTCGAGATGTCCAGGGTCATGCGGCTGGGGTCTATGGGGTTCGGTGACGTCGCTTGGGTGTTCCCCTGACCTGCGGTTTACCGCGGCGGATATACAACGGTCGCAAAGGTAGACCTATCTAAAATCAGGCTCGACTACTGCAGGGACAGGGCAGCCAAAGCACGGCAGCAAGTGGCACGAATTCGAGCAAGCGGTTTTCACGAGACGCTTGCTGCGTGATAGTGCTAGGTGATGGCGCAATGCTATAGTAGACGCTTTCAGGCAGCTGTGCATGGGCGCCGCCATAACCGACCTTCAGTTTTAGTTTCCTCGTAATCCGTTCACTTCACTTCATTGCTGCCACAACCGGACAGATTATTGACACTTTAGGTGCTACTGTGTCCTTCTCCCCAGCACAGGCCTTTTGTGGAGGCTCGTCAACACCCGCTTCAGTGGCTCGGTATCTCGGTAAGACAAGAGAAGGTCGGCTATGGCGGCTGAGTGTGGAGCGTGTTTTAAAGCGTCTATAATTAGGGTTCCCCGTTTGCAAATAAATCAGAAAAAAATATTCTGAAAACATTTGTCGCTAAAAGTTTCGTTAATTTGGATTTATCCGAAACACTCATAATTTCGAAATCACAATGACAAAACAAGGCAAAACAACAACAGCAACAACACCAGCAACAGCAACAACAACAGCAACAACAACAACAATGATAATAATAATAATATTAATATTCATAATGATAATAAATAGCAGAAAAGAAGCTGTTTTACGAATAAGCATAGCCTCTTCTATACTCACAAAGCCTGGCAGTTCGACGACGAAGCCATAGGGCGCCCCGTCGCGAATTTATAGCGCGAGAATCTGGTAGCACAAAGCGATTCTCGGGGAAGCTGGTAGTGAGCGCTGAGTCTTTTTGCAGCGGCGAGGACGCGCGAGGAACGCGAGGAGCACGAGCGGACATTCCATCGCTCGGGAGAAGTATGTTTCGGCGTCTCGCCGCAGCGGGGCGCCCGTTACATGACTCTGCTCTCATCCGTTGTCTGCCGCTCTACCTTTTCACTTTCGGCGGTCGTGTCTCATGGCGATCTGCCAGGCTTTGTCACTATAGAGGAGGCTGTGGAATAATTTACGTGAGAGTACAGGGTCTGTGCTCCTGAGGAAAGACTACTTCAGTTTCCTTCGAAATTTTATACTATTGGGAAAAGAGAGTTTAGCGTTTATCTCGCCGAAATTCGTCCAGAACAAACGGGTATTTCTGGACCACGACCAAAGCTTTTGTTCCGGTTTCTAGTTTAGAGCACACTGTTTGGCTTTCTCAGAGGGAGAAGGGCTTGCGTTTTTATAAGAGTGAAAGCTATGAAGCTAAAGATTTCATAGAAGAGGGCAGGGCAGCTGGACCTTCCCATTGACTACGTTCAGGTGTTAAGTTGTTTTAAATGATTGATGCTAAATGAGGCAATGCTTCTTTGCAAGAATGGTCGTGGTACAGTTAGTATTGACAATGGCAAGGGCCCCAATGCTAGATGCACCTGCAGACACCATATGCGACAGGTGAGTTCTAAATGAATTTAATATACGTGTGTGTCCGGAGAGTATGTATTTTTATTTTTAATTTTGAAAACGTGAGAACTGTAACATTATACTCCAAACTTTAAGATTGAAAAAAAAAAAATATATATATATAAAAATACGATGAACTTTGAATTTTCAGTGACATATAAACTCAGAAAAACAGTCTCCGAATTTAATAAAATATAAATTCCGAAAACACGGAATTTTAGCTAAAATGTACGCGAAATTCTTAAACCAAGTTGAAAGCCAAGTCAGATATCTCATTCTGCTACAAATTTCGCTCTTCAGCAAAGAACTGGATAACTCCTTCAGGCCGCCCCCCCCCCCCCTTTTCCAAAAAAAAAAAAAGAAAAAAAAAGAAAAGAAAACAAATGAGCAATGAAACAAGAAAAAAAAAGAAGAAATATGTGTGGTACAGAGATTAGTAGGAATATACAGATTAGTAGAAAATAAATTACCAAAGCGAAAAAAAAAGAGAAAATAAACATTTATGTTGGGGGAGGAGAGACAAAAAGAGAAAACATCCCACTGGCTAAGATTGAAGAAGTACCGAATGCTGTGGATGAAAGAAGCCGGTAACGAGCAGCAAAACCTGTTCAGAGGAGCATTGTACAGTCAGGGACAGCCGAAGAAAAGCAGGTCGCGGTGAGTCTCGAGCTCCGCAGAGATCGCTCCGCAGAGATCGCAACATGAACAGATAAGCACGCCAAAGAACGGAAAGCGTGAGGATGACAAGCACCGCTTTTCTTAGACTGTCAGTAACGACAGCCGCTCAATGGTCATCGCGTCATTTTCGGTTTATTCCACGAAAATGTGTCACGGGAGCCCCGACAAAGGCCCCTATTCCACGAGGCAGTTTTCGACTAGGGGGCCTTGGGAGGGGGCCCCCAAACAGCTCGGGGCGTCACACCATGCATGCGCAGAACGTCCTCGCACGCGCGGTGCGACGCCCCAGTCAGTATAGGGGTGCCTCAAGCGGTCCCCTATTGCAAAAGTCTCGAAAAATTACTGGGAGCGGCCCGCAAGACTCACCCCTGTTCTTGTTGACGAGGAAGGCGTTCGAGATGCACCACGCCGCGGCCACGACCACCTGGTGGTCGCTGTCGGCGTCGTTGTCGTCGTCGTCGCCGAAGAAGAGCCGCAGTCCGTGTCGAGGCAGGGAGGAAGAAGGCAGCGGCCGGATGTTGTAGGTGTAGCGGTCGCGCAGCTCCGTCAGCTGGGGGAACGGGAACGGGGCCATCGTGCAGATGGTCTGCGCCAGTCGAGGGTCGCCCAGGGTACCGGAGGTGTGGCGCATCCACGGAAGCGGCCAGGAAAGAAAGGTGGCAGAGAAAACGACGGGCAAATCAATGAGGGAAAGGGTTTCGTTGAGAAAACGAATACCATGGCTGAATGCATTCACCATAATCACCGACAAGGCGAGAGAGACAGGGAAGACTTCCACAGCCTTCGGCGCGAACTTCCTACAAAATACCTTTTTGCTACCGTCGACATCAGCGCGTCTAACGCCCCAGGAGGACGCACCCGCAGCCACAGCACGGCGGAAGGCACAGAGCGCGTGCTGGGGGCGTTCGGAAGATCTGCCGTTCTTATTCTGCCAGTGGCTTCGCAGGACTAAATGCAAGCCACGTCATGGACTATTATTATAATGCAATTAAATGCAAAGGTGCAAGCGAGCTGGACAAGAATGACGAAAATAATCCCTGGAGAAGGGGAACAAGAGGGACAAAGGACAAACACAAATCTCCAAACACCTAGCTGTGTTTGGAGATTTGTGTTTGTCCTTTGTCCCTCTTGTTCCCCTTCTCCAGGGATTATTTTCGTCATGGACTATTCCTTTTATGGCTTTATTGACTGCGAAGCGACAATGAGATACGCTTGGCACTCGCCGTGCCCTGCCGTTCTTAACCCATTGGGGACCGTAGACGTTTGCAGGGTATACGGCCTTAATGGACGCCGCCATCTTGTTGCTGGTGTGGGTAGATCGTCAGATAGCCAATTATCGCCGAGGCCGTGGGTACGCCTCGGCGATGCTTGACTATCAAACGATTTACCCACACCAGGAGCAGGATGGCGGCGCCCAGAAGTCGCACTTGCAAACGTCATATAGGATATTATATATATATATATATATATATATATATATATATATATATATATTGTTTCATGATCACGTTAGGCATTTGCCGTCTATGGTTTTGTTCGAGGGCAACATCCTCGTGCTTCGCGCCTCGTGGTGAGTCGCAATGCGTTTCTTCCACAGGACGTCCTCAAACGCTGCTTAAGCGTTAAGAAAGAACCGTATATGTGTATGAAGGTGCCATAAGAGGACCATTCCGCACTAAAACGAGCCGGAAAAATCGGTACCTGCGCGCAAAAAACTCGAACCTTTACCGAAAGTGCGTTGAGCAGCCAGGTCAGTTTTACCGTGTGAAATCTCAAGAGCCCTCTTTCTGTAAAAAAAATAATAAAACAAAAGCAAAAAAAAAAAAAAAACAGAAAAGAAAATAATCTTGCAGTAGTGAAGCATGGCCACGTTCGCAGACGACCGAGTGAGTGACGCTATTTCCTTGTGGCTTTATTCTCTCGAGCATGCCATTTAATCTCGCGAAATTCAGAATAGTTATTGCGATATCGGCAAATAAAAATGATGACAAAACCAACATTCAAATACACCCGCGCTTTTCAGTGTCATGACGTCAGAGGCGGGCGGGCTCGCCAGTCGAGCAGGCAGTCTGAAAAGAAACTATGCCGAGTATTTGTGTCGTGTTGCCTTGCGGGACCTGGAGCGAACTTCCAAAGCATCCATTTGACGCCATGGAACTGCTTGTGGTCAGCTGGGAACACATCCCACAGCCCAAGAAGTGAACCCCTGCCCGCCGTTGGCGTCGCTTTTCTGTTTGTGCCATAGAGACTTTCAGTTCCAGTAACAACGATGAAGACCAAAATTGTAAATTTGATAACTTGGAGAAAAACATTATTACGACTCTATATTTGGGATACTACTATTTCAGCGATGTTTGTTTGTGTGTTTAGCTAATTTACGGGCAAATACGTGACCATGAAGAAAACGCTGGAGTACCCCTATAACGAAGGTGGTGCATTTATCGTACTGAAGTTTTATGTTTGTAGGTTCGAATCAAAAGAAAATGAAAGATGAAAAACACTTTTTCTTCTTCCTTTCTTTATGTGCAGAGACGAAAACGACAAATATCGTCTGGCTGACGGTGCGACTAATAGATGGCGCCACACACGCTCGGATCTGTTGGATATGTCCTTTTGAATGTTCATCTCAAAGAAGCCTTCACGCTTCTGATTATGTTGCGCCACCTGTGAGTATAGCAGCTGCGTCAACCTGACGGCTTAAACTGTTTTTCTACCTGTTTGTAGAAAAAAAAAAAAAAAAAAAAGACAGCTCTTTTGGGCTAAATTGTTTTCATGGAACCCAGGCTCATAAGTCTTGAGTACGAAAAATGCACCACCTAAAGATACCTTTTAAAAAAAAAACACCTTTCTACGCATTCCGTTTATTGGTTTATATACACGATTTTGTTTACGCTTACAAAACGATCGAGAACACCCTGTAGAGAAGCGAGAACATGCTTCGCGCCACTAATAGAAATCAGTTGCTTTGAATAGAATATCGCCATAAACCGAAAATCCCTAAAATATTTTTTTTTTGTAGTTTACACTTGGTAACGGGTGACGAACATAACTTCCTTATGTTCGTCACCCGTTGCATCTACTTCGTAAATAAAGTTCGTTGCAATGAGAAAACATTTCAGCCTTTCGAGATCTGGTGAAGAAGGAAGACCAGCGAAGCTGTACTATGGTGGGAATGAAGTAATGGCCGGCCGCAAGTCGGCAAGCCAGAGTGGAAAGGCTGGAGAGGTTGCCGCCGTCGCTCATAGATGGCGGTAGCTGTCCAGAGTTTGGTCTTTTGGTTTGGTGTCATCATTTGTTTGCTGACGGACACGATACTGGGGAAACTGGCCCTTAATAGCTCCGCCATAAAAATACATTCAGCTTGAAACTTCCAAACGTGTGGTCGCATAATAAACAGCTTCTAGATGAACTTGGGCTTTCAAATAAAAGGTATACAAGATAGATCATGCTGACAAAAACTGGTTAGCACATAATGTGCGATAGACCTTCTAGGGAAGAGGAGATGGGTATCTGAAGGCAGCGCCTAACGAAGATTCAGTCTCATTTCTGACGCCCCAGTAACGTCGCTTTTGCAAGCTCGGACCTCTTACTGAGTTTGGATAGATCGGTCGGCAAAGCACTTGGCTTGGAACCTCTAGGTGGTGAGTTAAATTCCTGCCGGGCGATTGAAGTGTTTTTATATGGTCCCCTAGGGGCGTAACGCTTTTCGGTTCCGTTTTTCCGTTACAGCTGGTTATTACAGCCGGCCGCTACAGCCAAACGTCACAGAACTCCATGAAAATCGGCAGGTAAAATCTATTTTGTGTTACAATAAAACGAACTGGTCGGTCGTGCGATCAAGACAGGAGTAAAGTGAGAGCAACGTCTTTAATGCAAGCTGCCCATCTTGGTAATGTTTAAATGCACTCCATACAAAAAAAAACAAAAAAACCTTTATACTTTTTACCTTCCCCCCCCCCCCCCCCCCCCCCCCCCCCCTAAAAAGAAATAAAATGACGTGAGCATTTGGCGTCGGTGATTTTGTAAGCCGTTATTAAAGCGCAGACATCCGGTGGTTACTCTTGAAATACGTCTGTTCACACACAACGTCTGAGAGTGGTTACTAGTGTGGAAACTATAGCGGCCTTGACGTAGTTATACAAAAAGGGGAGGAGTGTCAGCATCTTGAAGACCTTTTTTATTTCACAAGTTAGAATCACTGGGCTAAAAAAGCAGCAGCATCCTTCGTTCTAAAGGCGTTTAAACTGAATAATATTTCCGAAGTATTTGAAAATAAATTACAAATCGGATATCGGTCAAAAATGATCTGGTTCTTCGTCAAAATTCTTCTGCAACGGGCTTTTACGGTGGGTGAGATGGGAAGAATTTTCATGTTACATCTGTATAATCAGGAAATGTGAGTTGGTTTCAACGATTGTGGTGCCTGCAAACACATCACCGAACATAGGAATTTAGTAGCTTTGGCATGACGAGTTGAGAGTATAATTCACGTTTTGCAGTGGCTGGCACATAAGATCATTAATAAATGTTAGAAGGATACGTCGATTGTGGAGTTTAGCTTCCTTCTTTACTGAGATAACTTCATGCTATCTTTAGCAGAGGACACTAGAAACGATTTCTGCACCCGGCAACAAACATCTGCGTGAAAAAAAGCAAAAAAAAAAAAAAAAAAAAAACTGGAAAAATATTTAGCGTGAGGCGAGGAAATCGTGTTAATGTAAGTGTTTGGGATCGTGTTGATGGATGAAATATTCACATCTGGCTTCACCACTTTTATGCCAAAACCAGATTTAAACGCATTCGTGTACACGATTCGTAATCCACCGTATACTTAACTGGAACCTTATCACAAAGCCTAAATCGTTTCTTCAGTTGCGTGTCTCGCACCTTCAGATAAAATACCGGAGACCCATCAATACCCAAAGATTTCACAGCTTCAACTGCGCTAATTTCAGCTCATCTTCAGTGGTTGTTGATTCTCCTGAGTACGCATGTTTCTATTGATGTGACATGCATCAACGCTCCAATAAAAGGCTGCGATCTCTGCAACGTCAGTGTCTATAGACCGACACGCGGGCTTGACGTCACGGAGCTGCGGCGGCGCTGCGATCGCGCCGGAGCCGGGGGGTGTGGGCAAAAGCGCGCACGTTTCGCATGGGCGTCATAGCATTTCAGCATGCCGCGAAGCTATGTTGCCGTTAATTGCACCGAAATCTACAAGAAGAGCAGCGGAGTAAGTTTTCACAAGTTCCCGGCAGACTCTGAAAGGCATAGAAGGTGGATAATATCCGTGGATCAAAAAGTATGGTCGCCTCGCGCGAACTACCGTTTGTGCGGCAAACACTTTCTTGAAGGCAAGTGCGGCTTCCATTTCAATCTCCGTCCCGAGACTTGCTTATGTGCAGGGAAACCGTTGTCTGATCGAGACCACTCGGATTTTGTTCCCATGGTGTTCGCGCAGAAAGCACCGGCCAAGCGCTCGTCGGAGGCTCGCTACGCCCGTGCTACCCAGCAGAAGGGGAACGGCGACAGAACGGCAGTGTTGTAGGCGTTACCGAAAAAAAGTAACGAAATACGTTACTCGTT